TACCCTAGGGCCGCCTTTTAGGTTGTGGACTCTGATGACATGGCAACTTCTAGGTTGCAGAGCACACGAGCTCCCTGACTGTATGCCACCTTCCTGCTTAAACCACTCCAAGAAATTGTTCTACATCTCTTCAATTTCATTAAATAGTAAAATTATCATATTTAAAAAATGTATATCATTAGTGCAATCTTTACTGCAATAAATGATAAGTCTATCTTTATCCAGATATAGAATAATTAAAGAACAAGATTTAAAAGGTGTAAAATAACTTGATACCACTGTAGGGCAGATCTGGGTGAGAGTTATTCTCTGTTATCTCTGGTTAATTTGCATCATTTGATTAAACCATAGCTGCTATGATGTATGCAATGATCAATTTTTGACCTGAGCAACAAGAAATATGATAATTGTTCCCTAAGTCTTCTAGAAAATTCTATGCCTTTGAGATATTCACATTGAGTCATAACTGTTGGCTAACAAGACTAGCACAGGGTGAAATTAAAAAGGGAGGTACTGAAGAAGTTCTTAGTATGGATAAAGCAAGAACAAAAAGTAAAAAAGAATCCACTTGGATCATTCAACTGTCAAAGAAGTCAGAAAATCTTAGGGTTGTTAATTTTTTTAGAGTCTCTGGTTATATGTTTAACTACTTAAAGAATCAGGAAACCACTAGTAAAAGCATAATTAAATTTCAATTTGAACTCTGCTAAAAGACCTTGTTACAGCAAATACCTTTGGAAAAAAATAAAAATTTCTTCAATGTTCCAGGAATATGTTGAGTTAGGTTATTTAGACCAAACCTGCTGCCGAAGACAATTAAAAATCATCAATAAAATATTAAAAGCATTTCCCGAACATATCAAAGAGCAAACAAGATAGAAAGGAATTGCCAGGCCAAAGTCGAAGCCCAAGCAGGAACCTGGGGAGGTAACGTAAGCAATGAAGCCACTTACACCTGAGAGTATGGCCTAATGAGGCCAACTTGAGTTTCAAATATAAAATATGAAAGAGAAGCTCAGAGAGAGGGAGAAAAGGAACACAAGGTCTAACATATATTTAAACAAAATTTGAAGAGGAGAGAACGGGGCAGAGTCAATGTTTGAAATGATAATGACAGAGCTGCCCCAAACTGGTGAAAAACAATCCACAGATTCAAGAAGCTCAAAGAATCCCAATTACAATAAAGAAAAGAGATCTACATCTAGCCACATTATAGTGAAATTGAAGAAGACCAAAGACAAAGAAGATCTTGAAAGTAGCCAAAGAAGACAGTTAACCTTCAAAGGAGCAGCTGTTAGACTGACAGCTGTCTTCTCAGAAGCAGCAATGGAAGCCAGAAGATAATGGGATATTACTGCAATGTGCTGAAAGAAAATATCTCCCAACCTAGAATTATACTGCCAGTGAAAATACCTTTCAAGAATGAAAAC